CACTCCTAGGGAGACCCAGCACTACTCACTCAGCACTCCTAGGGAGACCCAGCACTACTCACTCAGCACTCCTAGGGAGACCCAATGTGTGATCTGTTAGGCCTGGTATTTTTCCTCATTCTCTGGATATTTTTAAAGCAAGTATTGAATTCTCTATACTCTGTGGGAGGAGGCGCCCCTGATTTATGAAAGTATCAGATTTATAAACACTGTTTAGTCATTTGCGTTTTAAGAGGAGACAAAAACCTCTTAAACGGTGGTGGTTGGTCGGTTCACTTTGTTCACAGGGAAGAATGTTGGCAGCGTGGGGAGCTTGCTGTCTGAAAGACGAATGGTTCATGACGTATCCTGGGGAGCCCTGTGGGCAGCGTGGTGAGCAGTGCGGTTCTGTGGGTGTGTTATAAGGTGTGACGACCAGGGACGCGGCATGTCCTCGCTCTGCCCTGACAAACACCATCTTTTAAGAGGATTTACTCTCCACTGCAGCCCAGTTAAGGCACTTTTGTGGAGGCACCAAGCAAGTGTCGTTCAGACGTGAGGTTTCAACTGTCTGCCGGGATAGGGGTTAGTGGACCTATCGCCGCGGAATAACACGACCCGAGCTCTGCCTGTGTCTCTGTGATTCTGTCCTGCCAGCAGAGCTTCGCCTCCTTTTCAGTTTCGGCCCCAGCGGCTTGGGCGGGAAGTTTCACTGCATGTGCCTCCCTTGTAAGTAAACGATTCACTTGTATGTCACCTGCTCCCCTCATTACTGTAAAAGCTTTATTATCTTTTACATTTCCTTATAAATGTTTAAACAATCTACTCTAAGATGATCAAATCCCATATTTTAGACCAATATTAAACCTTTGTGACCACAATCCTTGCAAATTTTGGAAATCAACATTAACAATAATCAATAGTAACACACCTATGAATGCCAAAATGTGGGCAGATAATGTGAGCTGACATAGGGATAGACCTGCAGGTGCTCCAGCCGGCCAGGGAGGGAGGCGGTCGGGGGGAGAACTCCCAGGGCCCAGTGGTCTCATGGTTTTAGCTGCAGAAGACCTAGCAAGTTCATTGCCTCGTTAGTGACGCTCTTCCCCTGGCGCCCCATGCCGAAATACGAGCCCCTTTTGAAATTATAATACACAGACAATTTCTTGTTCCCCACCCCAGAAGTTTGGAGGAATAGGGGGAACTAGAAGAGGAAATAAGTGTAAACCCTTTCCTCCCGGAGGAGCTAGAGAAAGATGTCTTTCCTTCAGGCCCTGAGAGGCTGAATGAAGGCGCACGTGAACTGTGTCCTCTCACTTAAACAGCTTGAGTTTATGTATAAAGAAGTCATCTGGACGTATTTCCTTGGAGGCTGCCTGACAGCTTATTCAAATGGTGACATTTTTCTGACCTTGGCTTTTATTTTTTCCATTTCAGAATCACTTGGGAAACTACATGAGACATTTTAATTTGGGCTGTAAGTGCTCCCATTCTGTCACACCCCCGACACACGGCGGATGCACCGCTGAATGACCTAGCTCCCAGTTCAATCTTTTTAAGAAGGAGAAGTAGACATTCTTACACTCACAGCTAATCTGTCTGTCAATAACAGAGAAGTCACATCATATTTTTAAAATTACATTTTCAAGCAGAAAATCTAACCTTTATTTTTTCATCTAATTGAAATATGATCTCAATGAGAGATAGCTCTTTAAACTAGTTTAAGGTAGAGTCTAGTAAAAATATCGCAAAGCTAGTATTAAGGCTAAAATCTGATGAAGCTTAAACTTCAAAATGCTATTATCTTTTCAATAATTTTATTTAATATCTTCCATAAAAATTACCCCTGTGTATCACTTACGTTTTGTTTTAATTATTATGGATACTGCTCACTGTTGAATTCACCAAAGACTACTGTATAAAACTGCTGAGCAATTGAGCCCCAAGTGTATTCGACTTACTACAACACGGGAGAATGCCTCCGTGATGGTCTTAGCATTTTCTTTTTTTTTTTTTACATTTTTTATTGATTTATAATCATTTTACAATGTTGTGTCAAATTCCAGTGTTCAGCACAATTTTTCAGTCATTCATGGACATATACACACTCATTGTCACATTTAGCATTTTCCTGATACAAAAGAAACTTGGAGAAAGTATTCATGTGGTTTGAGGACCTGAGCTCGGTGGTTCCAAGGTGGCCCTCGCAGGGTGGTGGATGCTTGGAACCGGGCAAAGTTTATTACATGCTAGCAGTACAGAAGGCTGTCTTGAAGGGAATCTTGATGGCACACTCCTGCCTTCCTTCATTTTAATATATGTCAATATGTGTGTGTTTAGACACACCCAAGCATAATATAAATAATATGCTAGATGAGAATTTACCTTTGAACTTTAAAAATACTTACTTTCTTTGGATATTAAATAAATATGTCTCACTGAATTTACTCCTTTAATAGACTGTACACAATTTCCTTAAGAAACCAGTCACATTGATTTTTTGGTACACATATTCATAGCATGTAAACATTGTATCTAATATTATTTTAACCATTTATATTTTTACCAACTTTCACCAAAGTGTACAACTTTTGTTTATATGGTCATAAAACTGACCTAGAAGACAGGAAACAGAGATTGTCTAGCTAATTATTTTTCTATGAGCATATACTTTCTATCACTTCAACAAATTTCAAGGCTACAAATAAACATATGTACGTGTCTGTGGGTGAAAGAATGGTCTCTTTCCCCAAGCATAAGAGTTTTCACACCAGTTCAGATAATCAAATATTGCACACTAGTTCCCATAGCAAACCCTCTCCTCTCCCTAACAGTCCTTTATCATCTCCCTATTTCCTTGTGCCTTCACACTGACCAGAACTCTCTTGTTTTTGCTCTTTATCTTCTTTCCAACTGCTCTGTGACGTCTTAGCTCAAAAGCCACTTCCCCAGGAAAGTCACACTTGTGCACTTACTCCATCAACATGTACCCCACATCCTTTCATGCATTATGACTTATTCTACATGCAGAGTACTTGGTGCAGTTTCTGGCACCAACTAGACACAAACACATGTGCACACACACACGGGTATGTACATACTTACGTGGGAACACATATATACACCAAGCTTCCTTTACCAAGACAGGGACATACTGAAGTAGATACAAGCTTATCCAGTTAGAGGTCGCCCTTGTAATCCAGTTATAGAGCAGCAGAAGTTACGTTTTCTCATTCAGCATTAAGAAACGCTAGTGAACTCCGCCCCTTGCTAACTTTAAGTTTCTGTTTGTCATCTTCAACCCCATACTCAGTACTCTTCTTTGTTTTTAAGCTAGTGTAAGCTTCACCCTTCAATAATTAGAGATTTTATTTTTGGCATTTAATGGATACAGTTGCATAAAATTTATGAGGTAGTGTGTTAGAAACATCTTTAAAAAGCATTTGTAGGAAAATAACATTATAAATGATCTAACAAATATATATTAAAATAAATCATTTAAATGGATAATAAGACATTTTTTAAAGACATTGTTTTGACTTCAGCTGTGATCTCACTGGTTCTAATATCCTAAATGGGAAGCGGTTTATCCAATGGTTCCAATAGTAAGTTTCCAAAGGAAATCCTGGAAATCCGGATCCAGATGGTGTCATTAATTCATTTACAAATCAAACACATATAAATAAGTTATGACTTGTTTTCATTACCTGAAAATACAGGACCTTGTAAAAATTA